CTGGGGGCAGAGCAATTCTGCCTCCAGCTTCCTGTAGTCAGCCCCTGGTCAGTTTCAGCAGCAGCGGCTGAATCTGGAGCCAGTTCCGACTTACATACAAATTCAACTTAAGAACAAACCTATAGTCCCTATCTTGTACGTAACCCGGGGACTGCCTGTATTGGAAATAATAAGACTGAAATCCTGGAGTCGATGTTGAAAATTCTATTGGGTAATTCTGCCTCCAGCTTCCTGTAGTCAGCCCCTGGTCAGTTTCAGCAGCAGCGGCTGAATCTGGAGCCAGTTCCGACTTACATACAAATTCAACTTAAGAACAAACCTATAGTCCCTATCTTGTACGTAACCCGGGGACTGCCTGTATTGGAAATAATAAGACTGAAATCCTGGAGTCGATGTTGAAAATTCTATTGGGTTTTTTTAAAACTTACATTATCACTGTGCTCATTATAACTACATTTATTTAAATTATAACAGCTGAGTGTTAAATGAATATTAAATATGCATTTTATTTACTTAGATAATCAAATACATTTCTTATAGATACATTCTGTTTATCCATGTGTATATTTTTCAAAGTTCATTGAAACTTTAGTGGCACCCTTAGGGGGCAGATTTTCTAAATATAATATTTGTTGTGCTATATTCTACAAGCCTGATATTGTTTACTTACCTAAACTTTTTATCAAGGCTCACATACAAACCAATATAGAGGGACTCCCCAAACTCATAATAGAAGCTCTAAAACAAAAATAAAATTTTAATTAAATGCAATAAAATAGCTACTATTCTGGGTTAGTGTTTGTTATACAGCATGTATAGCTGGCAATGATTTATTAACTTGCTGATGGTGGAGACACTCAGCCATATTATGGATTATATCTGATGAATTTTGGAAGAGTGCTCTGAAGTGCTGGATGAAAAATTTCGATCACAAAATTTTATCATTATTGTCATAAAATGGCTTCTTCTGCAATATGGAAAGGGTTTTTTGTGGGGGGGAGGAAATTTATTTTCAACAAATTTTTTTAACCTTTTTATTTTTTAGATTTCCAACAAAAATGGACATTTTTCAAAGAAAATTAGGAAAAAATAGTTTCCCAATCAATTCTTACTCTGAACTGTGTTGGTTAAAATGCTCAAAATCCAGGGTTTTCCTCCTCCTCTTCTACCTCACCAGAATTTATTTTGCAAAACAGCAAAGAAAAAAAACTCTTTCAGAACAAGATAGTAACTGTGATTATATGTAGAATGAGGTTTCAGCAGCTCCTTTTCATTCCATGGTTATATCATTTGTAAATGTTCATGTGCTGACAGCTCAGAAACTCAAGGTTGGATTTTTCATGCCTGTTAATCAAAATTCTGTTGGGTTCAGCAAAGGGAACATCTCTAGAAGCTAGCAACTTTACACTCTCTATTTCCCTTCTTACAGAGAAGCTGAGGGCTTATCAACACTTGGAAATATACCAAAGGAAGTATTCCAGAGTACATATTCCAGAACATTTCCAATTATAGGTGAACCCTGACTGTTGCTGGATGTTATTTTTTAGGTGCAGATAGAGTGGTGTAGGCAGAGATATGACCTAAGGGTCTGTCTACACTACACGGCTCCATCGATGGAGCAATGTAGATGAGCTTTGTAGACATAGCAAAATGAAGCGGCAATTTAAATAATCGCTGCTTCATTTACATCAAAATGGCTGCCACGCTGTGCCGATCAGCTGTTTGTCGGCTCAGCGCGGTAGTCTGGATGCTCGGCGGTCGACATCAAAAGCCTTTGTTGACCGCCCCTTTATGCCTCATGGGATGAGGTTTACCGGGGCGGTCAACAGAGGCTTTTGATGTCTACTGCCGAGCGTCCAGACTACCACGCTGAGCTGACAAACAGCTGATTGGCACAGCACGGCAGCCATTTTGATGTAAATGAAGCAGCAATTATTTAAATCACTGCTTCATTTTGCCATGCCTACAAAGCTCATCTAAATGGCTCCATCGACGGAGCCATGTAATGTAGACATACCCTAAGAGTGTACACTTTCTAAGATATCAGAAGCAGATAGTGAGATGTGTCTTCTGGGTATGCTGCACTGAATTACCCATTTCTGAAGCAGTAACTATATTTCTTACATATTTCCACAGAAACTTTCTTTCACTTTCACTCTCAATGACAACAAGATCACCAGAATTCTTTCTGCAATGCTCTCGGGCCTTTTCCATGGGCAAAGATTCAGAGCTGAAATAGTACTCCTTGTCCTCATATATAATCCATCCATTTTCAATGGCTTTATATGAATATTCTGTAAAATAAATAAAAGCGGCACACAGAGTATTTATAGTGCAGCTTAGATCATTATATGGTAACATTTGTCTGGTAATAGGAAATACAATACCTACCAAATGAGGTATTTGGTTCAGGTTTTAATGTAGCTCCTGTAAAATAAAATAAAATCTGAATGTGCAATATCTGTCATGCATTTTCTTTCAGTGACATTTATTATACAGGAATTATCATTTTAATGTGAAATAAGAAAATAAACCCCAACATTGTTTATTTATTTATTTTTCATTTTTGGATACATAATTCATAAGACTATAGGAGAGAATGGTTACAGTAATATGCTGCAAAATATAATTTAGGCTCAATCAATGGTTAAGTATAAAGAATATATTCATGTCTTCCAAGCATCAGATTTCAGATATTCATAATGCAAAGTATAAACCATAAGCTACTTTCAAATGTGTATCCTAAAACATGTTTCAGGTGCTGTAATCCATGACTCCTATTTAGAGTGAAATGGTATCTTCATTTAGATTGAAATGAGGGAAGTGTTTTGCTGTCCTTAAGCATACAGTAAGTTTCAATACCTTGTCACTGAAATTTTTTCCATCAAGTCTGGAAGTTGCAACAGCTAATAGATGTTAGCATTCAGCATCTTCCCCACTCCTTGAAAGAGCCAAGAGTTTTCTATTAAATTGGCACTATCAGCTGGATGAGACCCTGCTGTCTTGTGGTCTCTTCATCAGGCCATGAAGGATGAGTGAAGTAATGGAAGGAGGCCTTTTGCTCCTATATATATCTACATTTATTCAGAGATTTGAATTACCCTCTCTCCCTTTGACCCACTAATTCAAAGAAGGACATCATCTTACCTTTTTTTATTTGACAAACCCAGTCGCACAGTCTATCACAGAACAAATCATTCCACTGCATGCTACCGTATCCATAGACCACTCCACATTTTTCATTTTCATCATAATTATTAGGTTCTCCATCTGCCCAGTTTTCATAGTCGACCTTTGTTAGAAACACAACTCTGTGACTATTTCTTTCAAAGAAGAACAGTCATCGTGCTCTGCATGACAAGGGTAGAAGGGCCCAGCTTGATTTCAGCTCTTAAATCTTGCATTCTTTGTAACAGTAAAGGCTGGGGCTATTAAGAAATGGTATACTCTGCTCTTGCCAGGTGACGGAGGAAACACTTTGTGACTCTTCTGAATGATTTACAAGCCACATAAAGAGCCAAAGGTGTTGTGACTAGCCCTATCAACGAACATACCAGCCAAGACATGGGCTATCAAGATGGAGCAATGTGGGGCAATGGCCTAGATTTGCTACTATTGGGATGGGGCAGAGTCTGCCTGTCTGAATGATCCAAATCAAAGTTATCATGGGGTAGTGTAGCAATTGAATTGAATATTCTTGTACTCTAATCTATGAAATAGGAGAAAGGTAACAAAACTTCGGTTAGTACAAAATTAAGGTTAATCTTGATAGAATGAGGTTTCCATTACTATTGGGCATTGCCTTTTACCATCTTTGTTGGCACATTTCTTCTTATATGCAAGGGTGACCACATCTCGACTGTTATCTCGAGACCAGACTGCTCAAAAGTATTCTATGTAGACCTACCATGAAGGGTACATAGAACATAAGAATGGCCATACAGAATCAGGCCAATGATCCATATTGCTAGTATCCTTTTTTTTTTTTTTTTTTTTTTGACAGTGGCCAGTACCAGACACTTCAGAGGGAATGATCAGAATGAAAGAACTATTGAGTGGTCCATTCCCTGTTGCTCAGTCCCAGCTCCTAGCAGTTGGAGGTTTAGAGACACCATAGCATGAGTTTGCATCTCTGAATACCTTGGGTAACAGCCATTAATAGACCTAGCCTCCAAAGCACTATGGGCTCAGCATCCCCTTTCTGGATTTGATACTACTCATTGTACAGAAAACAAGGCTGTTCATAGCAGTCTTACCAGGAGCCATTATCAACTCAAACAAATAACTTAAAAACTGAGGCAATCTTGGGATGTCTCAGACATTATCCATAAACATCCAGCTCTCAAAACAATGCATCCACAATTCCCAGCACGCACTGGGGACTTTGGCACAGTGATTTTCAGCCTTTTGTCTGTAACAAACTCTTTTTGTTTGAGTTGGGCCATTTCTGTTCCACTGTCATCACAACAGCCACAAACATCAGCTGACTACACTATGTCTATTTATACAGCCTCTAACACTACCTCAATGTAAATGGAAGGGTGACAGGAAGGAAAATGGATAAAATGGAGTGGGGAGGAAGCTGAGGTGGCCTACACTCTAGAGCAGTGCCACACACCAAGAGGACTTTTCAGCAAAGCAGGGAATGTGAGAAAAGCTAGAGATGAGAAAACCCTGTTACCCCTATATCCTACTCCATCCACCCCTGAGGAGAATGCAGGATTGTTCCCTACTGAGCATTTTCAAGTTCTTTGTCTTCTGGCTAAAAGCATCATAAGCAATACAACTCCTGGTCCTTCCTAAACATGACCTCTTCAGTGGGGAAAGTCTTGTACTTGGTACTAGACACCCCACCTCAAACTAAGACACTGAATATTATCTACAAAGTCCAAAACATTTGACTTTGAAATTGCAAGGAATTCAAGTTCTGCATCTGCTCCAACTGGTAAGGCTGGAAATCTCTTCATGGCCCTGGCAAATGTTTTGATTTTCCAAAGCAATAAGAAAACTTTGGTGCTTATGCAAAGAAACTAATGCTTGGAATGAGCTGTTTAAAGCCACTGAATTATGCAACTACACTAGTGTTGATCACCAATTAACTTTCATTGTAAAAAAATCCTGAAATATGTAGCTACACTAGTGTTGATCACTGATTAACTTCCATTGTAAAAAAATCCTGCAATAGTGAGTAACAAATGTATTGCCTCATGTAAATGCTATTGGAGACCATGCTGTTATGGTGGAAGGAGGACATAAGCAGATCAGGTTGAGTAAAAATTGCAAAAAATATTAGGAGAAATTCAGAAAGTCAACTCTGGTGCAAAACACTGAATTACTCACTGGAGAGCCATCACTCCAAGTATATCCTCCATCAGGATCGAGGGCACTCAAACCAATCCAGTATGATGTATAGTAGCGCTCTCTTTCCATAGATATTATTTTATAAATATAGAGAGGACCGTAAACATCTCAAAGCATACATACCATTATACACATTACACATTTTAGTACTCAGAACATGTCAGTAAGTTTGAATGTTTCTTATTAAATATCTCTAACATGCCCTAAAGATATAAGAAATATTTTGCTTCTTTAACATTCTAATATAAATTACTTAATTTTCAGCATCCACAGAAAAAGCACTTGTATGACACATGGTAGCAGGCCAAGTTGTATAATTTTTTACAGGTAAGTCTCCAACCGCTAAGTTACCACCTTTGTCACATTGAATTGACAATAAATGCAAATTAATATCATAGTCCTGTAAAGAACTGAAGCATGTGAGTACACAATGGGCCTGCTCATGTTCACATGTTCATGTTGGATCCTATTTCCTACAGATCAGTGTCACATTCTTCCATATCTTTCAGACACTTCATCTCAGAAGACTCATTTATAAATAGGCAGTTACAAGTTTTCAGCAGTACCCAAGAAGGCCACTCTTCATAATACCACCATCCCCCCTGTAAACAGAGCCACAACCTGAACATCATCTTTGAGACTTTGTTTTTTTCCTCCTCCCACATCCAAGTCATTGAAGAGCCTAATTCTCTTCTCAGCACTTTTTGAACAATTCCTTCCTATCTATCAGGTCCAGGTTCTAATTATACCTCACCATTGCAATCCGTGCCTCTCCAGTTGTTTTGAGGCCCATCTTCTTCCTCTCCACTCACAATGCTCTGCCAAAATCATCCCTTTCATTTTTCCACATCCATGTGCAGATTTTTTTCCATTCTTGTGTGGAATAAATGTTTTATGTGCACTAAGGCATGTGCACCACCAACCAAAACATTAAAAAATAGATGGGGGCACACTGCTAATAAGCTGGACAGCATTTGAATCTCTCCTGAGAGCTCGCACAAGTGCACAGCTTACACAGAACACTGCTAGCTAGGCTACTTCATCTCCTCTCTGAGTCCACCAACTCCCAGCTCCTCACTGATCTGCATAGCAAGTCTAACAAATTTTCCTCACTTTCAAAGGCTTCTATCACTTAGCCACAAATGGCACATCTGAGTCTGCCTTTTTGACACTACTCCTTTCCCCTCTGTTCCACCAGTGACATCGACCTTGATGAGCCTCTCTTTTCCTTTTCTCACAGCGTGTTTCCATGCTGCCTGACGTGTGGAAACACCTCACAATCCCTGTTTGCACAGCCACCACCTTGCCTCATCCAAATCCCTTCTAAATTTCCAACTCTGCAATCATGTAACACAGACAATTTGTATGAAAATGGAAGAATAAAAATTAAAAAGGAAGTCAGAACCACAAAGATGTTCAGACGGTTAAACTGATTGATGACTTAATTTTACTGAAACACTTTCACCATTTATTTATCACCCTCACTTATTTTATCATTTCTAAAAACTCTAGATTGTAAAGCCACATCTACACTTAAAGGGGAATCTACGCTATGGAGGTCAATCTTCTGGCTTTCAATTTAGCGGGTCTAGTATAGACCTGTAAGTCGAAAATTGAGAGCAGCTTTGCATGACATCTGTACCATTCACAATCATGAGGAGTAAGGGAAGCTGATGAGAATATTTGCTCCTGTCGGCCTCCCGCTGTTTGGACGCCACCACACCAAATTTGGCTTAAGGTAAGCTGACTTCCAGCTATGTATTTTACATAGCTGGAGTTGCATACCTTAAACCAATGTTCCAGGGACTTGTCTTTCACTTTCACCTCCCTACCATATTGCTGGGGTCAGTCAATAAGCAATAAACAATAATAACAATACATGTCTGTTGTTTGTATATATTGCTATCCTACCTTCAATTAACTCTGGACCAACCTTTAGAAACTCTCAAATGCTACTGAGAAATCTGGTGCCCAATTTTGTTTTAAGATACAAGTTCAAATGATACCAAAGCCCATATCCACTCTTTTTAATGCAACAAAAAAATTATTTTTGAATAAGAACCACAATCTCAATGTGTAGCTTTTCAGATGAAAGAATCTCTTTCAGAAGGGATATTCTCTGTTATTTTCATGTAATACATTTCAAGTAGAGGAATAGGACAATGCAGATACTCACAAGTGATCTATTACATTTTGCTCTTCTTGATTATGAATAGCAGCCAGATCTCCTCCGATAGCTCTACAAAAATCTCGAGCATCAAACCATGTTCTCATATATTTTCGTCCTTTGTGAAATAGCTAAAAAAAATGTGTCATTAAATATTTGCTAAGCATTGCAGAATTAAATAAAACATCCACTGTTAGTCCATCTTAATCTCCCTGCCTAACACCTCCAGCATTCATCCATTGCACTGTGACTCTGCTGCCAAAGTCTTGCTTCATACCCAGTTCATCTCTTGAAACTTGCTACTGCAACCTCATCCGGTCTTCCCTCTCTGAGGGTATGTCTACACTACCCTCCTAATTCGAAATAGGAGGGTAATGTAGGCATACCGCAATTGCAAATGAAGCCCGGGATTAGAATTTCCCAGGCTTCATTTGCATAAAGCCGGCCGGCGCCATTTTTAAATGCCGGCAGTTCGAACCCCGTGCCGCGCGGCTACACGCAGCACAGAGTAGCTAGTTCGGATTAGGAGTACATGGAATGAGGAGTACAGCCTAATCCGAACTAGCTACTCCGTGCCGCGTGTAGCCGCGCGGCCCGGGGGTTGACGGGATTAGAATTTCCCAGGCTTCATTTGCATAAAGCCGGCCGGCGCCATTTTTAAATGCCGGCAGTTCGAACCCCGTGCCGCGCGGCTACACGCAGCACAGAGTAGCTAGTTCGGATTAGGAGTACATGGAATGAGGAGTACAGCCTAATCCGAACTAGCTACTCCGTGCCGCGTGTAGCCGCGCGGCCCGGGGGTTGAACTGCCGGCATTTAAAAATGGCGCCGGCCGGCTTTATGCAAATGAAGCCCGGGAAATTCAAATCCCGGGCTTCATTTGCAATTGCGGTATGCCTACATTACCCTCCTATTGCACGGGGTTTGAACGAGCGGGGATTTAAAAATGGCGGAGCCCCGCTTATGCAAATGAAGCCCGGGAAATTCAAATCCCGGGCTTCATTTGCAATTGCGGTATGCCTACATTACCCTCCTATTTCGAATTAGGAGGGTAGTGTAGACATACCCTGAGTCTCTGATAATCCCTGCCATAGTTTCAACAGTGTTTCATCACTTTCTTCCTAGACCATTTGGAAATGCTTGGGCTCTTTGAGGTTAAAAGGAGCTATGTAAATGCAAGTTGGTGCTGAGTCAATTGTAGTCATCTATCCCATGTATTTTTTCTGCATTGTACAGTTATAAGAAAGCACAAGTACTTTGTGTTCAGGAGTTTAATACCTACTTTGAAGCAAGAGCTACTGTGGGTACTTGAATGCCATCCATCTAGGCATGAGGGGGCAGGAGTTGTTGTTGGAACGGGAGGAGGAGTTACTCCCTCAGCCAACTGTTTGCAGAGGAACACTGATTTCTCCTCACAGTTCACAACGTCCCATAATCCAGCTGTAATTCCAGTCCTCATGGCAACACAACCTGGCTCCTTTCCTTCAGGACACACAAAAGTACACAAAACTAATACTCTTACTTTTATTAATTGAATCATCTCTTCCCAAAGTATGTACTTATACTTCTGTTTAAATTTTTAAAATGTTCTGTTAGAATACGCCTATCAGTACAATTCAGGTCTGACTTAAATAAATATAATCAATAGTGAAGATTTTGATCATGAGACTTCACAAAGACTTATACAGAATTTCGTTCAGAAATGTAGAAGATTAATTAAGCCAACTCTCAAATCCCCAAATAACAAATGAATTAAGAAAAATTTGTGTCCATCAGAACAAGCAGTTCCAGACAGTCTATTAAGAAGCAATTTCCAGCACATACAGTCTAAAGCATATATTTTTAGTACCAATGAAATCATTTAAAAAAATATAGTCAGCAATTTTGTTTGTTTTATGCCAGCAGATTTTTAGAAGGGTTCTTTAATTTTGAGATCCTCACGTTCTGAATGTTCAGAAAGATATCACGACACCTTGTACTTGATTATCAAGGGTGTTGCCTCCACAAAGACAACATGGGCGAAGTTTTTCAGAAGAAATTGTTTATTTGCTGAAAAATACAGTGTGAGTCAAGTGGAAATTATTCACAAATTTAACATGAATTCACTGAATAATTTTGGCCCAAATCTTGTTTTTTAAGGATAAATTCATGCAGACAGTTAGGCATATTTACAAAATAGCCAGTGGAAAAGGTAGGAGGTGATACTCCACTTATAACATCGAGCTCAGTGGTGAGTGAATATCCTAAGATGTGAGATACGCAGATTCAAATCCCCCTTCTGGAGCAAGGGTTTGAATCCCAGTGTCCCCACTATGTGCCCTAGCCACTATTGAAGGATGGGTTTCTCTCAGTCCAGATCTACACTGTGGGAGACGGGGGACGGGGGAAAATGTTGGCTTAAGATATGCAACTCTGGCTACATAAATAACATAGCTGGCTTTGATGTATTTTAAACCGAGCTTGGCACTGTCTCCACAGAGGGAGGTCAATGGGAGAAATGTTTCCATCAATTTCCCTTATTTCTTGTAACAGTGAGGAGTACCTGCACCAAAGGGGGTGCACTGAGCATTCAATTTAGCAGGTTTTTAGTAGACCCACTGAATCGACCCCTAGAAGATCGATCACCAGAATGTCGATACTCCGGTAAAAGGAGACATGACCTCAGTCTCTTCCACTGAGGAAGTTCTACTTTGTATAAATAAATAGTCATCTGAGTTGCTTTTTAGACCATTAGACAAGGTTCAGGTGACAGGTTGATGTAAATGGTCATGTGAAAACACTTAACAGGGAGGACATCTAAAGCATGGAACAAATAATGAATTACTTCTCTCTATGATTCTTCTATGGAGAAGGAGCCTTGATTCATCCCATGACATCAGAATGGCAAACTTGGACATGGACTTTTATGTTACTTTTCAAGTGGCCAAGAGGATTCTCTGACAACCAGGCTGTAATGTCATTCTTATTCTTTATCCTAATGACTATTCAAGTATTTTACGCCAAGTGGAACAGATTCAAAAGGAGAGAGTGTGAAAGCCACTTCCAAAAATAGCCTACAGCTTAGTGGTTAGAACACTCACTGAAAATGGGGGAGACCTAGATTTAAGTCCTGGTTCCAAAGTGGGGATTTGAACGTTATCTCCCAGGTGAGTGCCCTAAGCACTGGCATTTGGCTGGGGAGAGGTTACACCAGATTCTCCTCCACATCTCTTTCTGAATCTAGTACTTTTAAATTGCCCATGTACTTTGTCAACATGTACTTTGTCAATTTGCCAAAAATTTTAAAAAAATGGATTTAGTTAAGAACATAACATAACATAAGAACATAAGAATGGCCGCACTGGGTCAGACCAAGGGTCCATTTAGCCCAGTATCCTGTCTACTGACATTGGCCAGCACCAGGTGCCCCAGAGAGGCTGAACCGAAGACAATGATCAAGCGATTTGTCTCCTGCCATCCCTCTCCAGCCTCTGACAGAGGCCAAGGACACCATTTTATCCCCTGGCTAATAGCCTTTTATGGACCTAACCTCCATGAATTTATCCAGCTTCTCTTTAAACTCTATTATAGTCCTAGCCTTCACAGCCTCCTCTGACAAGGAGTTCCACAGGTTGACTACACGCTGTGTGAAGAACTTTCTTTTATTCGTTTTAAACCTGCTCCCCATTAATTTCATTTGGTGTCCTCCAGTTCTTCTATTTAGGGAACTAATAAATAACTTTTCTTTATCCACCCTCTCCACACCACTCATGATTTTATAAACCTCTATCATATCCCCCCGCAGTCTCCTCTTTTCTAAACTGAAAAGTCCCAGTCGCTTCAACCTCTCCTCATATGGGACCCATTCCAAACCCCTAATCATTTTAGTTGCCCTTTTCTGAACCCTTTCCAAGGCCAAAATATCTTTTTTGAGGTGAGGAGACCACAGTATTCGAGATGTGGGCGTACCATAGTTTTATACAGGGGCAGTAAGATATTCTGTGTCTTATTTTCTATCCCTTTCCTAATAATTCCTAGCATCCTATTTGCCTTTTTGACCGCCGCTGCACACTGTGTGGAAGTTTTCAGAGAACTGTCCACGATAACTCCAAGATCTCTTTCCTGATTTGTCGTAGCCAAATTAGCCCCCATCATACTGTACGTTTAGTTGAGGTTATTTTTCCCGATGTGCATTACTTTACACTTACCCACATTAAATTTCATTTGCCATTTTGTTGCCCACTCACTCAGTTTGGTGAGATCTTTTTGGAGTCCCTCACAGTCTGCTTCTGTCTTGACTATCCTAAACAGTTTTGTATCATCTGCAAACTTTACTACCTCACTGCTTACCCCTTTCTCCAGATCATTTATGAATAAGTTGAAAAGGATTGGTCCCAGGACTGACCCTTAGGGGACACCACTAGTTACCCCTCTCCATTCTGAAAATTTACCTTTTATTCCTACCCTTTGTTTCCTGTCTTTCAACCAGTTCTCAATCCAAGAAAGGACCTTCCCTCTTATCCCATGGCCATGTAATTTACACAAGAGCCTTTGGTGAGGGACCTTGTCAAAGGCTTTCTGAAAATCTAAGTACTATATCTACTATATCACTTCAACTCAAACTGATCTTTTTTTCCCCCGGAATTGCCTGCAAACCAGCAAAATAGTCACTCGGTGCTCTGAATTCCAGTGAGTAAACAGAACTGCGTCACCATCAGCCCACTTGAAAGTCCCTGGTTCCTCAACATCTGAAAGAGCGATCCAGAAATGATTCCTGGGACTAAACCCAACCAGGACAGTCAGGAAGGCTTGTTCGTATCTAAGAAGAAGAAAAATAAATGTCAAATCCATTTTAAACCAAGGTTGTGTCACACTTTGTCCTTTTCATGCTATTGTTCATAATGCAGATGTTGGCAATATTATAATGGAATATTAATTTATATCCAGAGCAAATTCTGTTACTGACACTAGTCAGGAAGTATAGTAACTGTGATACTTTCATCATCTACAGTGATTGCTTTTTTCTTTTGTACTTTAGAAGAAAGAGCAGTAATCTGCAATACTTGGGTTGATTTGCAGATTTTATTTACTCAACATATAAATGAACATTGCAGTTTTAACTGTGGTGTGATATTGTTTGTCTTTGTTTCTTGCACATTTCAAGCAGCTCCTCAGCTAATGCCTAATACCTTTCAAATGTAACATTTCATGTCCTAGGCTAGCTGTCCCAGGTGATTATCAAGTTCCCTGGTCTCTATTTTATATCACAGGACTGAGACATTTTTCTTAGTTGAAGTGACATTAAGCATGTTATGGTACCGCTCTATCGCATAAAATGCTGTAATAAAATGGTGATGGGTACTCTATGCTTCCCTTTATCTGTGATGGGCAACCTAGGCTAGTGAGTGGACTGCTTGAGTGGCCCTCCTTCACCTCACTGGGTCACAAACTTGTTGCGACAAAGATGTTCTCCCAGGATAGGGTAGTTTTGCTAACTGCGCTTGCATGCCTACAATTTGTGAGGTGAGCCAATTGAATCATAGATGGGCTTTCACTGAACGCAGAGGGAACGCGCAGCTCTTAATGTTAATGATGTGTGCAATCAGCACGCACATCAGTTTCATATGTCATTGCTTTATGTGTGTGTCACTTTAGTAATACTGGTAGGAAAAAAACCCCCAGCAGAATCTGGCAAAAGTAAATAAAATGTCTCGTGGACCACATATAGAACCCCAAAGGACCACACGCATCTTTTAGTATGCGGGTTGCCCTCCATAGCCTTCTATAGACAGATATCGTGTCCCCTACTCTTGCAATTTTATCCTGAGTTGTAGGATAAGGCCAGTTTTTGGAGTCATTACACTATGAGAGAGTCTCAGCTTTGTAAATAGAATAATACGAAAGTTGCTAGCCTTTCTGTTTGCAGAGAAAGGCTTGAAAATGTAAACCATTAATACTGGAAAACTGGAAGAGAAATAAATAGTACCCAAAAGGTATTATTTTTTAAATTTTAATTTTAGGGGTTGGAAGAACTGCAGAAATGTAATAACAGTAGCATGACCATCTTTTTCTTTTTTGTTAAAACAAGGATTGATGAATAACTGTCTTCTGAGGTTCTTTGTAAAACTGTTTTGTATGATCTTGTTCAACTCGACAATGTTATTGCCAGTCAATGAATTACATCAGTCATTATTGGCTGCATGTTTAGAATATAGAAACTTTGGTCTTCCATTCTGCTCACAAATTTGAAAGCAAAGGCGTCTTTTTCATACCTGTCTTTCACAGTGACTAGGTAACCTTTGTTTTTTTCACAGATTTTCTTTGCTTCTGAAAATGTCACAGATGTCTCTCCGACTGAGTAACAGTAAAAACCATGTCTTATCCAGCCCTGTCAGCGTAAACAACAGACACAAATGAGATATTATCAGGTTGTGAAGTTACATAGCACTTGATAACTGTCCACTACACTTCTAAAAAGTTATATTAATGTGGTACTCATCCATGAAATTAAACTAAGAAACAATGAGAGAAAAAAAGAATGTGATAATCAAAAAGCACGAGGGATCACTAACAACTCTACTGGACATATGTAGGTACTGCATCTGTAGTTGCTGTAGTAGAATCCACAGCGATGTTTGTGTGAGTGTCACACATTTTGCCTAGGGTTGGTGGGGATATATGGCCACAATCACTTCACAGTTTTCCTATAAAGCCTATTAAATATGATTATTTGTTTATGCTTAACTAAAGGCGAGCTGTCCTATTGTTTTTCTTTCTTGCTTGCTGCCAGTTATCAGAAATTTCAGCATTGTCCAGTACAAAATATTCTTGGCCTTCAGAGTTGTAGAAGACCCAGACAAATATTAATGCTGCCTGCAGGCTGACTGACTGAAAAAAATACTATTGTTGTGCAATTGGGTGATGTAAAATCATGATGGAACAATGATTATTGAGTAACATATTGCATATGACTCATGAATGATTAAAACTGCATATGTCTGCTCAATTCAGAAAATAGAGAATGAGGACAAAGGGGACACAAGTAACATAAAAACATAGTCAGGGAATATTTTGCTTAAGTGAAGGAGCAATTTATTCCAAGTGATCTGAAAATTATCTATGTACCTAATTTATCAACTTGCTAGAATAAGAACAGCAAGCTTTGTCAAAAGAAGTTACCATAGATTGCCTTTTAAATGGCAACATAATTTTAAGGGAGTGAAAACAATAAGTCAATGTTCTTCATATATTACTGTGTGCTTACTTTCTGGCAGCCTGGGACAATAACCTCAACTACTTCAGATTCTTCTGCCAAAGGTTTCATTTTACAGATGTAACCAAGCTTCTTTTCACAAAGGTCATCTGCCCAATAGCCATCCTGAAAAGGGCAAAGAAAAGAAAGGAATGCCAGGAAAGAAGGATTAGGTCTTTAGAACTTTCCTCATTACTTTTCCCTGCCTCTCCTCCCCTCCCTTTCCCCCCCCCGCGAGTTTTCCTTAAAAAGATCCAGGGAAAATAAAATCCAGCACAACCCAAACCACTTTTCAGCATTCGTTTTGCTCTTTCAACTCCCTCCACATATAACTATAGGTCTCTTTGTTCTTCTCAAGGCACATCAATAAAAGCTCTGAAAATCCCATAGAATGCCTCTGCTGCTTTGTCCAAAAGTTCATTAGCTTATTAGGGCACATTACTGTTGGGTGCATATCCTCAGAGTTCACAGAGTTAAAATGGCATTTTGGAAGGCTTCAGTGACTGCTGAGCAAGAACACATTCTTGTCTAATCTGTACTCATCTGTGCAGTATCTGAGCACTTGATGGAAGTGCAGCGTGTGACATGACTAGTCTCGACCATGATACAGATGATTCTTTTCTTTTATCTTCTTGAAAAAAAAAACATGAAATATATTCAAAAGCATTTATTTAAAGTCTGCTTTGCTCTGCATATTTCCTCCTGAAAGTAAGGGTGTGTCTAGACTACACAGTTTTGTCGACAAAAGTGGACTTTTGTCGACAAAACTATATCTGCGTCTACACTACCACTGAGTTCTGTCGACATAACGTCGACAGAACTCAGCAGTTTTGTTGACACTGGTAAACCTCATTTTACGAGGCATAACGCCTTCTGTCAACAGAATTTCTGTCGACAGAAGGTGTTATTGCATGTAAACTGTCCTTTGCGTCTACACAACCATGTCGACAAAGCAGCTTGCTTTGTCGACAGAACTGAATGTAGTGTAGACGCTCTTTGTCGACAGAAGTTTTGTCGACAGTATCTGTCGACAAAACTTCTGTCGACAAAAGCCTGTAGTCTAGAGGTACCCTTAGTCAAAGGGTGCTTTGCACACAAAGCAGAAGGTGGTAAGTTCTGAAGCAGTTCTTTGTACCTGTAGGAGTTCTTCCTTGGCAGGCCTATGAATGAAGGGACACTACAGTACACTAAGCTAGCCCACTGCATAGCACGTTCCTGAGAAGAGGAACACTCATCTAAGAGACATATGGGAACTTTTACAAGGGTCAAGTCAGAATCTAGCAGAAGTGGATGGAGAAATATATTCTCAATATATAGACATATCGTAGTTATCCAGATTGATGAAAACTACTGGCCTGGGTCTTGTAGGTATGTTTTTAGGGAATATAATAAGGGCAAGCTAGCCCTGTGGGCTTCAGCAGCCAGAAAAAGTGGTGTGTGGCACTTGCAAAATCTTACAATGCATCAAACTGAGCTTTTCCATTAAATATCTTCATTTTTTTTCTTTACAAAGTGCAAGGCAAAGATGGGAAAAACCAAAATGAAGTGAGAATATAACAACAAAATAGCATTATAGTTGTCCTCTATCCATAGTACCCCATAATGAGTGACCGGGGCATAAAAAGTATGGTGCCTTTCCTGATTAGGAAGCTTATGCTACAGGGGCTTTTTCATAAAAGTGCAACACATATGCAAGGTATTTTACAAAGAAGTAAGGAAGTCCCTGCACCGAGAGTCTTACCGACAAGAAGATACCACTTGTGTGTGGCTGCTCGGTGCTCTTTAATCAACTTCCTTAGAGCAGACCAAGTCTTGGCGTGAATTTCTCCTTCTCTTAAACCTTGCTTGTATCCATGCAGAGCCACCACTTTCATACTGTGCAGGCTTCTGGATGAAGGCCTGAGAGCTGGATTTTTATGAAAACTAAATCTCCAGAAATGATAACTTCAGACGTTATCAGCCTCAGACTAGAACCTCTGCTCTTGGACAATGAGCCAAACCACAGGAATCCCTTAGGCCAGGCATGTAACACTGCACCAGGCAACGTGCTTTCCACCACATAGAACCTTACTAAAAATAGCAGTGTGGGGCGCCGGAGGGTAGCAGTGGCAGTGGCAGCAGCTAGCTACACGAGCCTGTATCCAACGAGTCCAGGCCACTGCCAGCCACACTGCTGTTTTGAGCACCCAACCTGTAGCAGACCTAGCATGTCTCTATCTACCCACTCTGGGAAGTATGATCCTGGCTGCAGTGTAGATGGGCCCTTGACAGAAAACCAGCTAGTACTAGTTCGAGTTAACTGCATTTACCTCTCCCTTCATAATGACACAGTCTTTTTTCCTGTTGTTTGTGTTGGATGGTTCTTCACGTAGCCACTTGGTGTATGTCACAGGAGACCCGTCACTCCATTCAAAATACATCTCAATCCTGAGGTCATTCAGACCAATCCACAACTCATCTGTAGGCTCTAGAAAGAAAAAGCACATTTATGGATGAGCTCCCATCTTTTAACATTGTTATTAAATTTCATGCCTATCCCTGAGTGAGTAATGAAGATGGATCTATGTTTTGGGGCTTTATGACTTTACTGTCATTGTCAGAACTGCAAAACTGATCCTGGCTACATCATGAACACGTATGCAGCTCCAGTGCTGCCCTGTAGCAATACTCACTGTACCCAAGCTGGGACACCGTGAAGCTGTACTCTTCGATGTTGTGGATGCTCGCCAGACCACCACCCTCTTTTCTACAAGACGACAAAGCATCCTTCCATATTTTGGGTGTTCTGTAAATCATGTAACAGTGGCCTGAATAGGGGACCCAGCCAGTAGGACATTTAATAGGCCTCAAGTCACCTAAAAGAAAAAATAAATTATTCAGAAGAGCAATTGAAAGAGGGAGGGGATGAACAGTTCTGGCTACAGGGGCAGGTCTCTTGACTCATCCTACCAGTGCAGGACAAGCTACATATATGCTGCAATAAAAAACCTAGAGCACAGTTATGGCAGGTTTGGGTCAGCTGAGTTGGTCTTGCTGGGTTTGGGATAAAAAGTACTGTATAGAAATTGTGACTAGGCAGGATCCCAGACTCTGAAACTCAATGAGCAGATTGTGGTGGCTCAGAGCATGGGCTCAGCCTGGACTCAACTATCAGCACTATGTTTAGCCCCACATCTGAGCTCCATGAGCCAAGTCAATTGACCTGGGCTTGGAGATTCAGTGGAGCAGGGGTTTTATAGCTATGTACCCAATGAATCTCAGAAGCCTGGTGAGGGATACACTCCAGATCAACCCTGACTCATAGACTTTAAGGTCAGAAGGGGCCATTATGATCATCTAGCCTGACCCCCTGCACAATGTAGGCCACAGTATCTTACCCACCCACTGCTAGAATAATCCTCTCACCTATATCTCAGATACTGAAGTCCTTGAAATGATAGTTCAAAGACCCCAAGATGCAGAGAATCCTCCTGCAAGTGACCCATGCCCCATGCTACAGAGGAAGGTGAAAAACCTCCAGGGCCTCAGTCAATCTATCCTGGAGGAAAATTCCTTCCCAACCCCAAATATGGCGATCAGCTGAACCCTGAGCATGTGGGCAAGACTCACCAACCAGACACCCAGAAAAAAGTTCTCTATAGCAACTCCTTTCTTCCCATCATTGGCCTATTTACCACTGACAGTGAAAGGTCAATTAATTGCCAAGATCATGTTACCTCATCAAACCATCCCCTTCATAAACCCATCTAGCTTTATCTTGAAGCCAGATAGGTCTTTTGCCCCCACTACTTCCCTTGGAAGGCTGTTCCAGAACTTCACTCCTCTGATGGTTAGAAACCTTCGTCTAATTTCAAGTCTAAACTTCCTAATAGCCAGCTTATATCCATTTGTTCTTGTTTCCACATTGGTATTGAGCTTAAATAATTCCTCTCCCTCCCTGGCATTTCTCTCTCTAATATATTTAAAGAAAGCAATCATGTCTCCCCTCGGCCTTCTTTTGGTTAAGGTAAACAAGCCAAGCTCCTTGAGTTTCCTTTCATAAGACAGGTTTTCCATTCCTCGGATCATCCTAGTGGCTCTTCTTTGAACCTGTTCCAGTTTGAATTCATCCTTCTTAAACATGGGAGACCAGAACTGCACACAGTATTCCAAATGAGGTCTCACCAATGCCTTGTATAACGGCACTAACACCTCCTTATCCCTACTGGAAATACCTCGCCTAAAGCATCCCAAGACTGTATTAAGCCTTTTTCACAGCCATGTCACAATTGCGGCTCATAGTCATCCTGTGATCAACCAGGACTCCGAGGTCCTTTTCCTCTTCCGTTACTTCCAACTTATGTGTCCCCAGCTTATAACTAAAATTCTTGTTATTAATCCCTAAATGCATAAGCTTACATAAGCTGATTGCAGCATATGGTCCCACTAATACATTCTGCAGACTTCAGCACACATTCAAAGACTCAGGAAACTGACTTGTCACACAGGGTGGGACTCTGATGGGGCTTCTGTTCCTGGAACTTTTTCAAAGTGACCTTAGTGGAGCAACATTTAAATTCCTACTTTGAGAGACATGACATTGTGGAATTCACAACTGGCCAACAGGTCTGACAACTTGGTTTTGACAACTGAGACAGAAGTTATGTGCACTGTATAAAGATGCATTCCCTTTTATCTTTAGCTCATTGCAGGATAGAACTCTGCAGTTTGAAGAAACATCTTTTATTTCCATTGACCAGCCTACCTGAAGAAATAATAAAGGAATCCAAAGAGGAGTTTCCTTTTTTGCAGATATAGCCATGTTTCTGATCACACTGCTGGTTTTTCCATCTCCCGTTCCCAGACAGGAACACTCCACAGATTTTTTCAGACTCGAGAGATGGACTTCCTTTGAGAAACAGACACAAAAAAGAGAGAATCTCTATATCAGCACTTTACATTTTCATTTCACCAACCAAAGGAATGATTGGCTGTGGCTCTTCTTGCCCTAAGAAATTAATTGCCATATTTGCTAATAATCATCACTTTAAGGACAGAAAATTCAGAGATCAATTACTTAGCTGACCAACAAGATGAATACTCTAAAGCTATGATCCATTGATCCAAATAGTCTGACTACAAAAGGATATCTATATATTTACCTCCATGTGCAACTCACTGGAGAGTGTGTGTTACAGGTCCCCCTTAGATTATGTCTAGACTATGCTTTATTTTTGAAAAAGGATATGCAAATTCCCCGGGAATTTGCATATCTTCTTCTGAACTCACTTTCGAAAGTGGAGCTTTTCGAAAGTGAAAGTAGTCTGGACACAGTGTTTTCAGGAAAAAACACCCTTTTTTGAAACTCCACTCTTCCTTAAAAAATTAGGTTTACCCGTGGGTTTTTTTAATTTTTTTTTTTCCCGAAAAGCACCACGTCCAGAGATCCGAAGAAGATATGCAAATTTCAGCAGAATTTCCATATCCTCTTTCAAAAATAAAGCGTTCTATTGAAAATAGAATGCAGTTTAGATGTACTCTTTGAGTCCTGTGATGGGGCGCTTATACCCCTCAGTACAGGACAGACTGTGGGCTGGGCCCAGCTGGCTGAAAGTGCCCCTCCCCCACGGCTTTGTCAGGCCTGCTCAGTGGTGAGCAGGAGTATAAAAGGCCCTGAGACTGCTCACTCAGGGCTGACCACTGAAGGGGAAGGAACTACAGAGCCCTCTCCAGAGCCAGAGGAGCTGCTGCAGCCCATACCAATGCAGCAGCCACTACAGCCCCTGCCCGCAGCAACCACAACCACAGCCACAGCAACAGCCACAGCCACGGCCCTAGAGACAGGCTGGAGGTACGGCACTGAAGGGATGCGGGGCGATAGGAACTAGCTTACGGCAGGGAATTGAGTACCCTGAGTGCTCGGCAGTGAATGGGGAAACCCCTTGCTGAGCAAGCAGTAGACCGAGCCTCTGCCAATAGGGCCCTGGGTTGGGACCCGGTGGAGTGGGAGGGCCCAGGTCCCCCTATCCCTGCCTCTGCAGCACTCCAGAACAGAGGAAGGCCCAGAAGCCTATGGACTAGGCCACAGGGCTGTAGTTACCCCAAAAGGGGAGCCTTACCTGGACTAGGGCGCAGGGATATATTAACCCAAAACAGGAGCCTTACTTAGACTAGGCCACAGGGTTGTGTTTACTCCAGGAAGGGAGCCTTGTATGGACTAGGCTGCAGGGCCATATTCACCCCAAAAGGGAAGCCTCACCTGGACCAGGTTCCTGGGCGGCATTGACCCCAGGGGGAACACCAAGTCTGGGCCACATGACCATACGGACGCTGACAGAGGAGTGCCAGGAACTCAGACACCGGCTGTTGGGTCATGCAAACCCAATAGGTGGACTTGCAGGGGGATTTCAACGGTGAGACCCCACGCAAGGGGTTCACGCCCCTTGACAAGTCCCATTTGCAGGTAATCTGAGTCTATTCAAGGCCTACATAGCAAGCTTTATTTCAGGCTACAGCAAATTGTGCTTTTAGGTCTGAAGGTTCCTTATTCAGTTCTCATGTGTTACTCGCACATGCCCTTTCTGACGTTTAGAAACCCCAAGGAAACTGTCAAGGAGGAAAAGCGGCAAGGAGTCCTGTGGCACTTTATAGACTAATGGAATAATAAAGGAATCCAAAGAGGAGTTTCCTTTTTTGCAGATATATCCACGTTTCTGATCACACTGCTGGTTTTTCCATCTCCCGTTCCCAGACAGGAACACTCCATAGATTTTTTCAGACTCGAGAGATGGACGGAAGATTTGGAGCATAAGCTTTCGTGGGCAAAGACCCACTTCATCAGATGCATGTGACGCTTTTGCAGATTCAGACTAACACGCCTACCCCTCTAATACTTGTCAAGGAGGAAACTCGCCGATACTGTATTTATGAAGAAAGCTGCATAATTTTTTATTATATGAAAGACAGACCAAAATATATATTTCCACAAATCAGAGTCCATGTGTTCATTTGAAAATGTTCAAAGTTAGCATTTATGGATCATCTACAGATTATGGACCTTATCCCACTCTGGCCGTAGGTGGGAAGAGACATGCTGAGGAAATATACTGTAGCCGAAGGCAAAAGACACATTTTTGAGAAATGGCAACACTCTTGATTTGGGGGATATATTTCTGTAGAACTTATGAATTTTGATTGATTTTTTAACCCTATTCATAATGCTAACCTGTGATGTGTAGCAAACCAGCAATGGGCTGACAAGGACCCCGTCCTTAAGCCACACACAGTGTGGAAGAAGTTACAAAATAAACAAAAAAAGACATTACCATTTTAATAACTGTATTCTGGCAAGTCAATGGGTATGCTAACAGAAGTACCTTACTTGGCATAATCCAGTTATTTCTAAGACTGTGGTGTCCAATACACTAGCCAGTAGCCATATGTGGCTATTTGGCCAGTTGAATGTGGCTATTTTGCTATAGCAGCAGACACAATAGTGGCTACTGCTTCAGAACTGGTTGGACACCACAGTTGTAAGAGGACTACAGGCAGGAGGGTTTGAAGCAGTCTGATTTCCCCAAAGAGGAACAAAGAGACTGAAATCTTGAGTCAACTCTTTAAAACAACCAGTTAGGGACTCCTTAGAAAACAGTGACCTAGATCATAAAGAATACTCAGAAATGAGGAGAAAACTGCACCAAAAATGGCATTGAAATGGATCTTATTTTGCATGATTCTTTATTTCTTTTGAGCTGTCTAAAGTATAAGATGATTATTTTGTAACCTCTGGGTTGGTTTGCTTCAAATATCCTGTGTCCCTGAGGAAGTAAATGAAAGGCCCACAAGGGTGTGCTTAAGCAGCTAGTGAGTTTGGGGCACAACAGCTAGTGAGTCTAAGGGCCTTGAGCAGTTGGATGGGGAAATTTCAGCTTTCAAAAAGGGATGTACCCTGAGAGTGCACTGAGAAACCAAGAGCCAAAGACGGTGCAAACACAGAAAATGCACTTGGGCCCAGTGTATAAGACCCAAAGATGATATCTTGGTAAGTTTTGAAAGAAGGAGCATGACTAGGGCTGTGACAGGAACCTCATCTCCTTCCTGATTATGGGCTGCTACAAGGACATTGCTCTAGTTACTCCTGCAATTTTTGCACAAAGAATCCACTGTCAAGTGGTGTTTGGGGCCCCAGCAACCCTCACCATGACTACTTTTCCCCTCCTTTCCTAGCACACACTAGGGCTCCATGGAAATTGGAAGTGGGGCCTGCAACATGTAAACACTTGCAAAGAATACAAACTGCTCATGGGTGTTTCTGCTTCACTTTTCACCAGCACCTGCAGCCTGAACCAAGGCCTAATGAATTCACTGGAAAGATGCACATTGATTTCAGTGAGCATTGGTCATACCTCTGATTCAATGGCCCCTCTGCATTGTGTGCGCATCAAGCCCTTCTTATAGAAAAGGGATGTTACATTCATTCATGTTGGACTTTACACCTCCTATTATTTTAACATCAGCTGATAGGATTACTTACACATAATTTTAACATTTTTGTGCTGCCATATAATAGATCCTATGAGTTGTTATATGTACAATGAGTTATACATTAATATATGAATAGTCACAAAATAAAAACAGAGGAATTTTCAACCCCTAAATACATTATTTCCTATAGCAACTATGTTTGAGGGAAAGATGAGTGATACTTCAACACTGATGTGACAACAGCATCTTGGATGTGATACATGGTGGTGTTTTAACTTGTTTGTTATTTACGTGTGCACTTTACAAGAAATGAATATTTGATTCTGATTCCTTAGTAGTTTATATGCTTTATGAAAATTAATTATGGTGCCACATATAGCGGATTATAAATCTAGCTGGGAAAAAACGTAGCAGGCCTAAGATGACCTTTTTGCAAACATTATCACTTTTTTAAAAATGAAAAAAAAAAGAAAGCATGCACTCTGAGGTGTGTAAAGCATTTCAATTTTTTAGTAAGCTTTCAATCAGAATTGAAAGAAAATCACTAATGGAAAATAAGGGGTGTGAAGAAGATTCAAATGTCTTTAATTTTTAAATGCTTTTCTGGTTTGGAAATCTCTTTTAAGTTTGGGTTATCTATTAAGAACAAATTCCTCTCACAGCAATCCAGCATTTTACATTTTCTCTAGTCTCACTGACATCCATGGGAATTCTGTAAATGTGGAAAGAGCAGAATATAGGATCTTAGACCCACCATACATATAGAAGGTCTGTTTGCCCATAAACAGATTATCATTAACCAGAGATGAACCTACCTGGAGCCCAGTTTAAATATCTCAATGGACTTCCACCAATCCATTGCCATCCACCATTAGGAATCAAACTGTTAAGTCCAATCCAGAGCTCAGAAGTCACTCTCCCAGTTATCCCTAAATAACAAACAGAATGACCATTTGTTAAATAGACTAGGTTTTGCAGTGACTATATAAAACTTAAATCAAAACTAAGAGTTTGAAAACTACATGTCTCGGGCAAAGTCAGATCCCAGTATTGGTACATAGAATTCATCATACAGAGATGTGTACGTTTTGCTGGAAAAATGACAATTTTTACCCTACCATGTTCCTAAAAATGGCCCTGAGACAGGTAAGTAGGTAGTTAGGTACATGTGTGTATATATCTATACAAATGTGAAAGCTCTAGAACTGACTTCTTATTTGGTTTTACCTGTCAGGTAAGTTTGTTCATGTATCTCTGTAATACTTAATAATTCTGCATTCTGTTGCTGACAGCTTTTCCTTGCTTGGTGCCATGTTAGAGCAGAGTTGGAGTTTATTTGATAGTGGGTGCCTGTTAAAGGGTTTGTAGTCCAAAAGTCTTTGTCAATGGAATCTGTAAAGAGATGAATGGCAGAGTATTGGTTAATTGATAACATAATCAATCACACCTGCCAAGATTTGAAATCATATCCCTAGTATATACTAATTAACATTAAGTAACATAATTTGCATATATTGAAATTGTGTTGCATACACCAGTTGTCACACTTACACACACTCCATTTATTTAATTCTTACTTTTCTACATGTATCCCAAGGTTTGTGTGTGTGTGTTTATGTGGCTCTGGGATTCTTGACACCCCCTCCACCACATGCTTAACACCCATTCCTCCCTCCCCCACAAGACCTGCCCCTGTCCTATTCCACCCATTCCCCAGATCCCACCCCTGCCCTGCCTGCATTGCCTCGATTTCTGCTCCTACGTTTGTTGACAACCCACCATCCCATTCATGCTCGACCTCATTTGCTGACATCCTGAAGTGCACTGTCCTGATTCCCCGTTTCCCCTTTGCCTAATGGGCTGATCTCCACCTCACCCTCACAGCTAAAACCAGGTCCCAGCTTCCCCCTTAACACATGTGTCTTCCAGCTCCTCCCACTGGTGTCTGGGAATGCCTGGCTGCTCACCCCTCCTGCATCTACCAGTCTTTGAGAGTTCACTGCCTCCCCAATACCACACACAGTTTTTGAGCTTCCTGGGCAGGGTCTGCAAATGACACAGGGTTAAACATGTGGTTAAACTGGTTTCCTAAATCCAGGCCCTTGTTTTAAATGTGAAGAACTTACCATTCAATGGACAATATCCATATAGAGAGTTGTCATCAAAATCTGTAGATGTTGCACACCAGGGGAAACCCTGTTCATTTTCAGCCTTTTTATCCTTTGTGCATTCAGCATACCACTTATTATTGAATTTGAAAGGGAATACACAGGGTGCTCCAAAGGCATTTCCTAGTAGGGTAAACATTTCTAAGGAGACAAATGGGTAGAGATAGCAATAACTGCAAGCAGTGTCCACCAACATCTCTGATCAGAATCAACATTCCACACAAATGACTTAGCTAAGCAAGTTGATGCTGAGAGTGCATGTAATTAACTGAATAGTAAGAAGCCTTACAAGAACCAAAGCTGAAGAGAGCCAAGACATTTACAGTCAAGGTTACATTTTAAAGAGTTATTTAGAAAGTAGAGCTGTGCAGAGTTAAGCTCATTCAAACACTTACCATACTTTAAAGTCTGTTTGTGCCAGATTTTCCAAAAATTTCAGACCAGATATACATTCGGTACCCACCTTGAATTATGTGAGGATGTTTTTTACTTTAAGTCAAAGACTATTTGATAGAGCTCTAGAGAGCTGTAGCTAAATCTTACATATGGAATAATTAATGAGTGCTTCCCTTTTGCTCTAGACATAATTTTCGGCTGACTTCTACCGGCAGCAAAATATGACAGCTCTCTCTCAGCTCAACAGCAATGGCTGGTGGTGCCTTGTGGTATAAAGTTTGTGTCTATTCTTGCTCATACATCCCTTTCCTCCCCCTCCTTCTGTGGTAGGCAGACTCTTCTCCTTTCTTTGTGATGGGACCGAAGAGCTGGGTAGCCCAATGGGGAAATGACAAAGGTGTTTTATTGTCCCTTACTCTAGTTATAATCTAGCTGTTCAAAACAGATAGTTCTTGTTAATTACACTTATTCTCATGTTGTTGCATAAGGGACAGAGCTTTGAAAATTGGAGGTTGGTTTAAAGGTGACCTCAATTTTGAAGCACCTGACTTCTTATAAGTCTCAGGGGGGTAGCTGTGATAGTTTGGATCTGCCTTCTATTTTTTGTTTCTGACTACCATTGTTCACTTGCTAGTAATTACAACATTAGTGAAATGATTCTAGTGTTAAATTAATGGCAGGAACCCAGAACCTTAACTCCAGGCATATGAAAGCAGAAGGAATAGCATGAGCAGCAACTATCATGCTCAGGCACTCAATCACTCTTTACAGTAGACTGTCACACCAACTGGAGTAGGTGAAAATTGCTCCTCCAAAGCTAAAACTCATGGGATAGAAAGAAGAAACACTTACTTACTTTTTACAGAATCCATTTAATATACGTGTTTTTGTAAAATAAACTTCAGGTCCTTAGAATTTGTGTTTTTTCTCTTAACTATTATTTTGACAACCATCATGTCACTTTACCGTTAAAAGGTATTTTCCCATATAAACACATGAATAATGAGTTAACAGGGATGAGAAACTGAAACTCCTTTTCTTATGCTGCTGGACTTCCATGCTTGATGAATGCAGTTGAACCCAGGAAGAGCTGGGTCTCAGATCCAGTTACAAGAATGTAATTTTTCATTAGTGGTTGCTAAATAGCTATATCAACCCTAAGACATTTGATGCAATGCAATTCTACACTTCTTCCACAAAGGGTCAGATGGAGACCAATATATACACAGATCTTTTGTTGTTATTGTTATACACGTAGACTTTCTTATTAAAGATAGCCCAGCCACACTGCATTAATGTACTTTATCTGGCTTTGAAATTGCCCTTGCCAAGTAAATTACAAAATGCCAAGGTCAGTTCCTGAACGATTCAATTCTGCTCTTTACTTGCAGTCAACTCTGTTATTGAGCCAACCGTCCTGCTGTGCATGGAATGATAGCAAGGCAAGGCACATTGGAAACAAAATGCTCCACTAGCAACACCAGTAAATTAGTTCAGAAAAAAAGTGATTAATTTTCAAAACTTTACCTTCATAGCCCTGAGAACACACATTTTCTGTAGTTCCATAGATCTTCCACCTATTCCATGAGCCCAGTCCTTTGGACAGCACGACTTTCCTTTCCTCATTCTGGACGGAGTTGAAAAATAAATCTTTCCCTTGGATTGCGAGAAGAGTCCCATTTCTGCATACCCACTGCTGGAGTTCACTTGTCTTGTTACAAGGAGACAAAGAGATTTCAGTCTGGTCTTTCATTGCAGGCACTCCCAAGCATAACTTCAGTGCCATACTCAGAATCTGGTGGTCAGAGACCCACTTGAATTTCTGCGACTCATCATCCTTATTGCAAGTGGCAATTACGACTGAATTAGAGTTTTGAACTTTTACACAGAGCTTATGGTCTTCGTTGTATATTAAAAATATTCCTTTTCCTATAAAACAAAATAAGAATAAAATAATAGTTGGGAAATGCTGCAAAAGGAGGCATGCTGGTCCATTTATTGTACATTTGACCCACTGCAGTGAAGGATGCTTTGGGATGCTGGAAAAGGACATGCCAGCTGATGCCAATGTGCACATGCCTCACTCGGATCCTGACAAATACCTAGCTGGGATGAAACTGGAACCCTTGGGTCTTAGCATTGTAAAAATAGGCATTAGAATTATAAAAATGTATTGAGCATTTCGATTGTATTGAATGCTTGTAAGTGGCTGCATGCATTGATCCCTCTTAGAATATCTGCATCCCCTATTGTGAGGTCATAGTTGTGGATTGGCCTTGCAATCCTTTGCAGCTGGGTCAGTCTCCAGACAGGAGAGAGAGAGAGAGAGAGACATTAAACAGTAGGAAATGCTGGCCTACAGCAAAAGATGGTATATCCTGCCTAGCACAGAAGGTCCATCCAAACCACACACACTATTATGGAATGTCAGAGGACAAAAGTTGTTGTTTATTATTTTCCTTTCCTCCCTCTTTCCTCATCATCCACATTTTATGAAGAGGACAAATGGGAGTGATTTCCTCCCATCAGCTCAACTGGCAACTCAGAGAGGAGGGAATGAGAATAAATATCCCCAAAGAGGAAAAACTGTATTTATATGCTACATGGACTCTTAAGGGCAAACAAGAGATCTTCAATGTTTAGCATGAGTTAGCCCCATAAGACATGTATTGCTTGACTTTTAGAGAAGCTTCTATTACCTTTTGCGACTTAAGATCGTATCTCATGTGTGTGTGCATATTTGCATGTTTTTACCTTGTAAATGACATTATTATTTCTTTCTTCTAAGTAATGCATCTTTAGTTAGTTTATTAAAAGACTGGCTGCTGTGGTCTTTGGTGTCAATCTGTGGAACCACTGACCTGGGGTGACTGGTCCATTGAGACGGGAGTAATCTGAATATGGTTTTGATTTTTGGTGTCAGGCAGGCTTACCTTGGTGACAAAATAGGTCAGAGTGCCCCATAGAGATTGCCTGTGATTCCATGGCTAGGCTATTATAATTCTGGAGGAGATTTCATTTAATAAACGATTGGTGAAATCTAAGTTTGGAATTCACAACCCATTTGGGGCTTGAGCCCTGGTTCTTAGCTCTGGTAGTCAAGCTGTCCTGCAGTAAATCAAGAGCATAGCAGCTGTGTCTTTCTAGCTAAATGTATTCAGGAAGAGATAAGGGCTGACTCATAGGCACAGGAAGGCAATGATTCAAACGAACACAAAAAGTAACATTGCCTAACCTGCAGATTTTGGTAATGTAACAAATGTAACTGCAAATTGCTCTTCTTCTTCAGATCCTCCTTAAATCATGCGTATCCCAAGTAATGTTTCAAAGATGTCTTCCAGAATTCATGATTTCCTCACTAACTCAATACTTTACCATCACATAGTGTGTTAAGTTTTTCAGTGTCTAGACTAGATTATACATTCCTTTGGGCAGGGACCAGGACTTCTAACATGTTAGGGAAGTTTTTAGCACTTTGTTCAATGTCTCTGAAGGTGGCTCTCAGGATTGCAAGGGAATTGTTTTTCCCTGCTGCCCCCCCCCCCCCATAAAAGTTAAAGCAGCTTTAGTGTATACTAGACTGGGATTCAAGGGCCATGTTGCCTCCCTGAGCACACCCTTGACATGTCTGAGCATCCGGGGGGCTAGAAAAGGATGGTTTAGAGGCTTCTGTGTGTCACACAAAGGAAATCCCCACCACAGCCCAATTCCATCTGCTAGCTTTTTGGATTTATACTACCAGAGTAGTTC